GGAGCCCGCCAACGACCAGTCCCCGCCGGATCACCGACGGCTGGGGCATCCCGTCCCCCATCGACGCCGTCTTCTCCAGGTGCAACTGCGATGGGAAAACTTTCTTCATCAAGGTGGGGAGCCAGCGTGACGGGCGTGGGTGTGGGGCAAATCAGCTTAAAAAAAAAAAAAAGTGCGGGTTTTGAAATGCAGCCCCGCAGAAGAGGAGCCTTGGGTTGTGTTGCTCGTTTTGTAGAACAAATGGTGGTTTTGAAACAGGGTGGTGGGTTGAGGCTCTGTGGGGGAAGTGTCTCTTCCTTAGCCCCCCACTCCTCATCTGCCTTGAAATGGTGCTTATCAGAGAAAAACTCAATTCAGTGGGGTTTTTTCCCCCTGTAATTAGCTAGGAGACAAAGCATTGACAAAATAACTGATCATCGAGTAATATTTATGTATAAACCACACTTCAAAAAAATCCAGCGCTTTAAAAAATGTGTATTCTATCCTGTCTTTTCCTTGCCCAAACACGGCCTAAATTTGTTCCTAATACATTTCGCTTCCTGAAAGATGACAATGAAAGACATGATACAGTTATTTTCCAATTAATCATTCAAGCAGCTTTTTCTATCCATGAAAATTTAGAAAGCAAAGCACTTTGTTCACCACTCTTAACAGTCAATTTCTAAGATACTCTATCCCTACTCAAAGGCAGTGTTAAAAGACCGCAGAAGGTATTGTATGAAGCTGTAATATTTTTTTTCCTGTTTTTAACAAATGTAGGAGTGGTTCCAGTCAGTTTTACAACGTAGTTACCAAAATGTTAGTTTTATGATTATTTTTCATGTCTGTGTTGAAGCTCAGTTACCAAGAACGAATTTCCTCTAAAGCTCATTTCTTCCTTAAATCATCAGGGTCCCCTATACTGGCGTTTCACTAACAGTGTTATGGATAAAGGCTATCCCAAACCCCTTGCAAATGGATTTGCAGGGCTAAGTGGGAAAATAGTAGCAACCCTCCCCGTGGCAAGATACAACAACAGACCAGAATCTGTTTATTTTATCAAAAGAGGTATGTCTCCTATTTCGGAATTCACAGATGACCAAAAGGTGCTTGAATTGCCTTAGTCGGGAACAGAACACCGTTTCTCTTGCCTGAAAGACATGTTTCTTTCAAAACCAGAAAAATAAGTGATGTCAGAGTGTGCTAGGTGGTCAAAAAAGTAGCCTGAAGCTTTAAAAATTTGTATTGATACTTACAGGTCTTTAAGTGCATTTTAAAATAAGTGGGACTGTATGGGACAGAATCCAGCATTGTAGCGGACAAACATTAAAATAAGTTGTATCTAGTGGTAAAACTATTTTAATCTCAAGTTAATTAAGGAAGGGAAGGCTTTAATCTTTCTAGTTTATAACTATGTATGCAAATCTTCCTCCCTCTTTCTTATTTCATATTTTAAATTAATGTAATTTCCCTCTCTTATACAAATTATGTACTGCCAACATAAGAATTGTTGCCTGAATTTAAAAAGCAGAGGTTAACAAAATGCAAATCCTTTTATGGACTCTAGCTCTCCTCCTAGGAAGCCTAAAATGATGGTCTTACCCTCCCCCTTGATAAACAGGAATGATGGCAGCAAAAGCAGTTCCCCTGGAATTGTACTTACTACAATTATTGTAATAAGCCTGCAGGACATATGACTACATCTAGAAGCACATCTTTGATTTAGAGAGCAAGGCTTTTTTTTTTATCTCAAAACATAGGAATGGATATAAAAAGCTGAAGACCGCCACAGTTGTAGATGCATTAAAATGATGCTATTGATTTCCTGGGTGTAATACAGATATCAATGACATTTTCATATCTGATCTAGCTGCTGGTTTGCTGGGGTGTTTTTTCGTTTGTTTTGGTTGGTTGGTTTTTAACCAAAGGAAACAAATGTCTATTTTAGATGGCAACATGCAACAGTATGTGTACAGACAAGAACCTGCCAAGAAGTGTCAAAGACGAACCCAGGTTACTGTAAGATACCCAGCTTATGTCCAAAAACTTGTAATAAGGAGACGCTTTCAACGTGCAGTAAGAATGCCAACTGTTATTCAGACTGTCAGAATCAACCCATATCCATCTGGTAACTGAAGTTTATTAAGTTTCTTTTATACAACCGTTTTAATCGTAGTAGTTTCTGAAAGACAACATTTTGTTCCTTTTTTTCTTTTAAATATAGTACTTTTAGGGTTTTTTAATCCAATAGATCTCGTTTGCTGTAGATGATACAAGCAAATGACAGCTTACAGCAGAGACACTGCGACAACTCCTAACTTCAGTTTTCTTTCGCTTGCAGGAGTTTTGCGTAAGGAAATCAAAATGACTGCCTACTGGAAAGGGCTCCCGAAAGTTATTCACTCAACTATATCACTACCCAACTACAATAAGCCAGATGGCTATGATTATTATGCCTTCTCTTACAGTAAGTTAAAGCTAATGCAAGTTACTATATATCTCAAAAGACTAGGGGATGGGGAAGAAAGAAGCCCCTGTATCTCAGCTTTCTGAACTGTGAGGTTAGCGCTTGTGGTTCTGCAAGACTAATTTTAAGCACTACTAAAAAGTCCTGAGAATTAAAATGTTGCCTGTAATCAAGAGATGTTTCTATTAAAAAAAAAAAAAATAAAAATAAAAAATCAGTAGTTACAGGACAGCTAGCAGCAATGAGTTACAATGATTCAAACTAGCCAGCCGTGGAATGCATTGCTGTACCAGGTCAGGCTTACAAAATGACAAAAAAACCTGACACTTAATTGCAGAATTGTATTAATGATAGACTGAAATCCTTGGACCACTGGTATGGATAGTTTTTTCAGTGGCTTCCATGGAACTATGTTTCTGACAAAACAAAAAAGGGAGGGACATGAACCGTTTTGCTTTAGAGGAAAAAATTATTTATGATTCCAGATTAGGCAGATCCTTTCCCTCTAGCCAGGATCAAGTAAAAGCATTCCTCAGAATTTTCTGGATTATTCATCAGAAAAAAAACCCCTCCAAGAACTAGCCATATCCAAATACAGGATACTTAAAGTAAGTCTCTGCCAGTATGATCTAATTCCTAACCTTAACATAGGCCAATTCATTCAGGGACTACCGAGTTCCCACTTTTGTAGTCAGTGCAGGATTGTTTTGGGTTTAGTTTGTTTGATTTCCAAATTCTTAAGACTATTTCTGTGTTCTAGCATTATAAGAGTATTCTTCCCTACTCCTTGTTCTTGGGACACATTTAATTTTAGCAGTACCATAAAACTTGGCTAAACGCAAAGAATGACACGTAAAAAATAAAGTTGAGGAGAAAAATTCATTGTTGTAGCCTCTCAACTCCGTATATATGTGGAATGAAAAATCTGTTATTCATGCCTAAATGAAATTAAAAGGAAGGCTTTAACTTCAAGATTCTTTCCATGTAAATGGAGTCTCTGGAATTTAATTCTGACATATCTTCATTGCAGATCGGTACTACAGTCTGGATGTTGGCAAAAGAATAGCAAGACCCGTTACCGCTCTCACAGGAAAGACTGTATCCAAAGACTGGTACAACTGTCCTAGCAAGTGATGCACAGCAGGGGATTTTAAAAAAAAGATGCCATTTGAATGTTGACCTTTTGTCTAATTTTATTAATAAAGACATTGAAATGTGTGCACACAAATCTAAGTATAAAATGCTGCTTTAAGCTCTGGCTTCATTACACTAAAGCAACCACAGGCAAACTGGCACTTATGTATACACAGCTGTAATTATTTTACAGATCATTTAACTAATATTTCCTCTGTTCAGGCCTCCTCTGCCTCCCATTGCATGAGTTACACCTGTGTCGGGAGAGAAAACAAATGCATTAATATAAATCCTTTTCAACCCTTTTCATCACATTGGTGCATGTGATACTTCATCCTTCTGTAAGGAACTGCTACTGCAGTGGAGCACTTCCTTTCTGGTAAAATTCAAGCTCCCCCTTGCTCCCCGAGAGCCTGGCAATATGGATACATTACCCTTTAAAAGGGTGGCAGTGACTTGTGATCCTACCTCAGACCCTGTGCCGATTAAACAAGTATAGTATAGCATTCTTACCATATCTGAAATCGGTTAGTGGTTGTCCTAGGTCCACCCTCCTGACCTTTTTATTTTTTTCTTTAAAATACCAGATACCTACATTTCAATGCTAGTATCAAGTCTCTTACAATGTTAAAATAATGTCAAAGTGAGTATAATTTATCTAAGGATTTTTCTTAATACAGAAGTTGCAAACAATAATTTATTGTCGTGATTTAATTCTATATTGCATTGCAAACATCTGTAATACTTCCATAAACTTTGTTTTGTTGATTTTTTTTCAGTCTAAGACATAATCGTGTAATAACTGGAACCCTTAATGTACCAAATGGGAAACTGATATATAATGTTAAAACCAAAGATTTCTAAACTTATGTCCTGACATTACTTTTTAAAATCTTCTTTTAAAACTTTGCAAAGTTTAAGATCATCTGCCATTTACTTTCTCTCCACTAATAAGAACCAAGTGCCACATAAGAAGAAAGTCTGCCTATCTAAAAAACGCTCAGACTAACATACTAAAATGAAACTACAGAGCTCTTAGGGTTAACGTACTGCAAACTAGGGCAGGGATGCTGTATTATTCAATGTCCTACAAGCAAACACCAGCGTATATAGTAATATATAGTCCCCAGAGGAAGAAAGTACTAAAAGCTTGTTTGAAAAAGTCTGAGTTTGAACAACCACAAACACTTACCCCTCTGTCTGTTGAACTGACGACCACGAACACCAGTTCTTAATGTCGGTGGCTGAAGTCTGACACGGCGAAGTGACTTAGGCTGATTACTGCTTGTGTCTGTGAAGAAGTGGAAATGCAGGAAAGAACGTCTGTGTCTTGTACAGTTTCTCACTGTTAATGTTTACGTGATCTGATTACGCATTATGCTCTTGAATTTACTTTACAACTGGGAAGGTGCATCCTCATTTCATTGGTATCTTCTCCGATATAAATAAAAGCCTCAAAACAACTAAGTTTGAGACTTCTTTCATTACCTATGCAAGGTGGTAGATTGGTAACCCAACAGTGATTCCCTTACTGTTCTTTGATGATATAATTGAATGAAAAAATATTTTTAAACCTGACATCAAACACAACAGTGAACAGAATCACAAAAGTATCAATAACTTTTGCTCCTTGAAGCATTAGTCTTATTACAGCCTACTGTAGCTACTGTGGTCCAAGTAAAAACTGTTTGCCATTAAGACTATAGGCAACAAAATGTGATCCTGCTCTAAGAGTTCTACCTTATTTTATGTATCTTGGCTATCAGCAGTGCATGACGCTGGCCCAAAAAGTTCCCACGCTTAATAAAATGGTATGAAACAACTGTTTCCAGCAATTAACCCATACCTGCAGATGAACTAGAAGGAGGATCTTGGCTAGTCGAAGGAAGATCTGACTCATCAGATGCTTGAACAGATTCTTCCTCTTGCTGGCTATCAATTTCTAGTCCCGCTTCTGAAGTAATTCTAGAAGAGAAGGATGGGGAGGAAAAACATGTGAATGTATTCACATAGTTTCAAAAAGCTCAGGAAAAAAGCATCATCTCGGAGCAGAAATATTCCTATGCAAATGTCTGCCCCACACATTTTCACAGGTTTTATTCTGTTTTGTCGTGTCCCCTCTGCCCCAATCCTAAGAGATTTATCTGTCTTTTAGAAAAATAACAATGTAACTTCCTTGATATTCAGCCCAACTCCAGATGTACATCCAACAAATTAATTGTCTTTCAGAGAAGGCCACAGAAGCTATTTAATAACAATAACTAAAACACCTTACGTGACAGTGGTGTGTATGTTTAGGCAGGGGAAGAACGAAGTGGAGGGACCACCACTGACCGGTTATGGCTAAAGACCACACATTGGTGCAATACCTAAGTTACTTCGACTCTGTCTTCAAAAGACAGAAAGAAAAGAGCATTACAGGGCTTGCAAAAAACTTAAATATTCAATTTAGTTTAAATGCAGGTCACTTTTCGGTACACATTTTTACTTACCTTGATTAGCAAATAAAAATTGTTAGAAGACGGTAACTAAGGCTCATGAATTGTGGAAAGTATCTGTTCTCTACTAGCAATAGATTGACTTGCTCTCCTATCAAGCTAAAGGCCTGTTCCGAACTACAGATTGTTCTGTGAACCATTTAGTTCCTCTATAGATATACGTCCAATTCACTGAAGATTAGATGGTTTTGTAAGAAACAAAATTTGAGACCTTAACATTAGAATACCCATCCTATGCTCTATCTACTTGTAGGCAGACTAATGCAGTCCAAGTTGGTGCTGCATCAAGAAAACAGTGTGGCATATTTAACTTGTAGCAGTGCCGTTTCCTTTTCTTACGACCAAACCTCCTACCTCCTGCAGTCAGTAGATAAAAGTTTAGGCAAACTGTGAACTACACATCTTTTATTATTATGCAACCAATAAAGAAAGTAAAATATGTCATCAAATGGTAACCTATCCCCTTTTAGATTTATAATGTATTTGATCATACTACAAAATATAGGCATTATATTAAAAATTGCACTTGCAAAGTGGAAGACAAAATCGTTTGTCTATCAAATTCTAAAGAACTGCTTATTCCCCTCCCTTGTGCTACATCTTTTGTACTTGTGCTGCCTTCACTGAATGACTTCATTATATATGCTTGCTTTGTAACGAGGAGTGATCTTCTCTGTTAACAAACAGGAATGCTTTAGCCTTCATTCCACAAACCCTAGTCCTTCAAATTGGGACCGTTACTATCAGTATTTGACTACTGCAGAGCTCTTGTTAAAAAAAAAAATAAAAATTACAGAAATCTTTTTTTTTGGCTACTTCTGTATTAGTTATATTAAATCAGAAGGAGAAAAATCAGAAGAAAACCTTTGGTTTTAGACAAAAAGGTCAGATCGCACTACTTCACAAAATTACTAAATCCTGTTTGTGCTGTCCTTCCTACCACAACAGGTTAAATTGAAAATGAATCACAGGCACACTTGGATGAAAACAACTCATTAAAAAGAACATGACATCAAGTCTTAGTGAACCAAACAAGTCATAGTTTACCCTTCAGATTCTGCCTCTGCAAAAACTTCATCCCCATCATCACCCGTTCCAGCCTCTGTAGTGGTGGACAGATTGCCAGTAGATGTTGTAACCATTGGAACGGACTGAGAAGCATGCTCTGAAGCGTCTGCTGATGCACTTTCAGTAAAAACTGTCACTGTACAGGAAAGGTAGTTTAATAAATATTGAGTTAGTTTCTATTTTCTACAAAAAGTCTATGGAAATCTTAGGCAGGATGGGGAAAGGGCACTGGAAAGTGCTACAGTTCCAGTAGCACTGTTGCAATAATCTAATTCTTCTCTGGGAAGTCAAGGTTTGCAGCCTTTACTTCGGCCTGCAAATTTCTTCCCACTTACCTGGTGCTGCTACTTGTAATGGTGTTGTGGGAACGCTACGTCCACCTGATTCTTCCTCATGAGCAAGGAATAGTGGGGTTTCATACATTCCTAAACCTGCAACACAGGAAATTTTAGTGACGATTAAAATAGCCAGTTAAAAAACAGATTAACTGCTGCCTTCCCTCTGTATGCTTGATGAAATCCAGTGATTTGTATTTAAATATGGAAACTTTTGTTAAATTTTAAGTTGTTTTGACTTACTGTCAGAGCTTACTATAATTTATTGAAAGGTAAAGCCTCAAGGAAAATATTACTACTTGTTTTGCTTTCATCCTTTTCTTATGCCATTACTTTGCTGTGAGCTTTCTTCAAAGATCAGCATACTGTTCCATGCTGACAGGAACGCAGGGGAAAGGGACTGATTCAGGACAACAACAAAGACAATATAGACAAATTGCCTGGCCATCCCTTAGCAGGTAAGGATGCATCCCAAAGATTTCTTTGCATTTGCTGTTTTCCCCTATTGTTTTACTGCAAGAAACCTACAACCAACAGTAAAATTAAAGGCGAAAACCATTTCTTCAATATTTCATTTCTCCTTACATGAAGTTCCCTATGCCCAGCAGGCAATTTGTCCTACATAAAGTTTCAGCTTCTCTGGTTCACAAGCCTGTTGTTCCTACCCATACAAAGCATTCTACTTTTTAAATCATATTACAAATAGAAATGTAGCAGCTTGAAAGAAACACCTTTTCACCTTCCGTTAGTCTCTCTCTGCTGACAATTATTTAAGAGTTGCAGGTTTTCACACTTCAGCAAGTACCTAAAGTAGAAGTGCATTTTATTGACAGTATTATTTGTTTTTCACTCTAACCACCGTGGAAAAGAAAGTACAGAAATGGTTTTACCTCCTTGTGATGCAAGCTGACCAAGATCAGAGTGACTTGAGCTAGTTTGTGGCATATCTTCAGGGGGTCCAAATCTGAATCGAGGAACTCCAGCTACCTGGGGGGAACTATCAAAATAAAGATTTAAGGAATTCTGCAATTTTTCCAGTGATCGGGGCGGGGGGGGAGATGGAGACAACTTTCTGACCAAAACAAGAGAACAAATTATG